ACCAACATACAACGATAATTTCTACAACCATCGAATGTCAAACTAAACCGAACCATGAAACCGAAACAACCAAATCAGAAAAACCCAAAAAAAAACCTAGAAATCGAAACTTCTAACCAATTTGAATACGTTAAAACCCAAACAAACACCATCACAACCAAACACAAGACCGACGAAAAGAATGAAGACAGAGAAATGAAGAGCAATGCTGATGAAGAAAACAACGACTCGCAAATGGAAAATGACCGGCCATCCACAGATGCTAAAAAGAAAAAAGAAAAACCGATCGAAACAACCGTAACAATAAGGACATTAAAAGATCTCCAAAAGAACGGTAAAAAATCTTTTATTTCCGTTTATTTTTATTACCTTTTAACTATAAATTCTCAAACGACTATGCGCATTTTCAAACAAACTGATTTTAACTTTTATTAATTCATTTTCTAAAAATCCAATTTTTTTTGAGAACTTTTACTTTTTTTTTCTTTTTTATTCATTTTATTCACGAAAAAGCATGTCCCCAATAGCCCCAGTGGGTGTGACGGACATGTCTTTATTTTTTAAATGCGAGGCTTAATGGCCAGCACAATATTATTTAAACAAAACGAAAAAATATTAAACGAACATGTCCTGCAAAACCCTTGGCAATGATGAATGTGCGTGTAATTTTTAACCGCCTGGGGTAATAGCCAGACATATATTATTTAAACTTGGAATCCCTTTTTTGTTATATTTGTATATACTGAAAACCTGTTGTGGTTTTATTTCGATTTGTTTTGTTTTTCTAAGAAAAAAAAAAAAGTTATTGATTCTTAGTCATTAGGTTTAAAATCGAACTAGAGATCACTTTCGGTGAGGAATACGTGCCTCTTAGAGTGTTAAGTAAAACTTACTTTGCGCCTACAACAGGTTGCCGGTACGGCAATTTTGGTTTGTTGAGGTTTAGGCGGTTTCGAGTAAAATAGTGTGTATTAGGTGTTATATGAGCGATAAATTGAGTGACCGAGAGTATAATAAATACGCGTAGGGTTTACTTACTTTCCTATAAGGTTCTTTTAAGAACCATCATATATAATTGGTACTATTAACGCGGAATTAGTTGAACTGCCTAAAAGTTATGCTTATGTAGTTATTTCTAGTAATAATACTAAATCATTAAATGAATATAAAACGTTGAATAATATTCTTCTAAGTTTAATAAATAAAAATATAAAGGTAACTTACATTTTATCAGCCTTAGAAGTAAATGGTTTAGATAAATATCTAGACGGACTCCAAATTAATCGAAACAGAATGATGGCTGAAATAGAAATGAAAACTGATAAAGCTAAATTATTCCAACAGGAAAAAGGATTAAATATTAATGGTATTCAACATCAATTTTATAATTCGACTCCAGCCAGAAATGTCTCTACACGGGTTCTGGTTTCCGTACTCGGGCTTCCTCTAAAGAAAAAACATTTTCAAGTCGGGAAAGCTCTAGAGGAACTTAGGTATGAAAAACATATGCATACACGACCTGTATTAGAAAAAAACACCAAAATCTAATATATCATACTACTCAGGTATCCTGATAGCTATGATGGACAAACTAGAACCCGATACCGAGGACAATAAAACTCGGAAACTATATTGTCAGAATTATACACAATGGACAGTATGAAACAGGAGGTGAAACTCAAAATAAAAGTCAAACGAAAGATACAATACCCACCTCTCTTAAAAACAATATTGAACACGAACTAATAGCCCAAAAAAATGTAGTCCAATATGAAATGCCCTCTAAAGATATTCAAACAAAAAAACCCTGTGATGAAAACCAAATTGAAGAAAATATGGAATGTCAGAGAGATGAAGAAGTAAGAAGTGATAGTGAGCTAATAATAAATGACCATCAACTTAATGAATGCAACAATACCAGCAATGAACCAGAGAAAATATTCCTAGAAAGCAATGAACCAGAGAAAATAACTTTAGAAATGAACAATCACATATATAATTCACAACCACATATTACAAGCGAATTAAAACCTCTTGATAAACAAACAGAATTAAAACAAAATAAAAGTAATACAAACAATGAAGCTAGAACCACAAATCTTACTACCGAATATAAACACTATGAGATAGCTTATATTGATCTCCCAGTAGAATTTAACTCAATGACACATGAAGAAAAATTAGATTACAATCAGCGCTTTTTTCATGGTTTTTGTAAGTATGCATGTTCAGATTTCGAACTAAAAAGATTTATTAGGTAGAAGAGTCAAATAAGCACAAGAAAAAAGAAAAGAAACCTGGCATTAGCTGAAATTAGAAAAGAAATGAAAAAAAGCGAGAGAAGAAGCAAAGCTACAATCATATAAAAACGAAGCAAAACAAAAAAACAAATAAGTATTAAACAATCGCGATGAATTGTACTAAAGCCATAATTTTGTTTGTAAACTCAAATAAAAGCATTAAACCGAAAAAAATATAAAACAAATAATAGAGAAAAACAAATAACTAAATATAAACAAAACATAACATTTTAACAAAACATAACATTATAACAAAACAAATAATAAAATCCTTTGAAAACAATTAGAGATAGAGAGATAGAGTTTACCAGTCATTGAAGATGGCTTGAGAATTCTAGACCTTCAAAAAACAAGGTATAGCACTTAGGCTTAAACACATGATAAATATAAGGCATAATGCAAAACAACATGAATCTACCTGTATTCAAAAATACCTCTTGGCAATACCATAACTCAACCTTGCATCTTGAAAGTTCGAGCAGTGGCGGTTCCTAACGGAAAACAATTTCCCAAAAACATTCGGTGATCCTCCATTTTACTTTCAGGATATCATTAAAAAACTCAAAACAAATCAAGAAATATTTCTCATTAAAATCAAAACCATAAGAGGTATATATTAAAAAATAACAAAACATGAAAAACGGCAAATCGAAAAATGCCAAATTATGAAATTGTTAAAAATCTTGAACTGGAACTAAAAGAACTGTCAAGAAAGAATGGAATATTCATTCAAACTAAACAAAATAATGTCGAGAATGACGAATCCCCCTCAAAAACATTATTTCATATGGAAAGAAACAATCAAGCAAAAAAAAACAATAACAACGCTCAAGAATGGAGAAACTACAATTATAGAAACAAAGAGTATACTTCCAAAAATAACAGAATACTCTAAAACACTATACAAAAAAACAAAAATAGCCAAAGAAAAACAAAGAAAGTTTTTATCCTGTATTAATAAGTCCTTAACAGACAACCAGAATGCATCAGGTTCAGTAAAAAAGAGCGTCATAATGCACCTATGTCACTTAAAAAAGGGAACACTCCAGGTATTGGTGGAATACCTGTAGAGTACTACTAGGAGTTTTAGGATATTGTTGGCGAGGAATTCAAAAACCTAGCGAACATAATCATATTTGATACCGAGGAGCAATTCTCACGATCACAAAGAACTGCTCCCATTAGTCTTCTACCAAAGGTAGGAGACTTAACTGAGTTGAAAAATATGTGACCTATTTCACTACTCTGCAGTGATTATAAGATAATAACAAAAGCTCTGGCTTTAGAATTATTGAAGGTACTAGATTTTCTATTCGGAACAGCTCAAACTGGCTCGGTCCCGGGCAGAAACATCAATCCTAACAACTTTCTAGTTCGGGATCTCATTTAATATACCAATGAAAAAATATCAAAAGCTTTATCCTGCGAATTGATCAAGAAAAAGCTGTTGACAAGATTGATCGTAACTATCTAATTGAAGTAATGGAAAAATATAACCTCAGAAAAAACTTCATAAATGCTATAAAGCAAACTTTGAAAAACAACCAATCGCTAATTCTATCAATTCACTTATGTAACTTTAGGCTGGCTTTTGGTAACTCTTGGTACTTTAGTAACTTTTGACTGGCTTGGCTTCTGTCTGGCTGAGGTAAAGTCATTTTTGTATTGAATACTCTTAAAAAATAAGTCAACGAAATCAAACTTTTCGCAAAAATAACCTAAGATGGCTTTACCCAAATTTATTTATTATTAATAAAGAGATCTTCTCCATTATTGTCTCAATGGGGATTTTCAACCATGTTAAAGTCAACCGCGAGAATTAAGTAATCCAATACTCGCGCATGCTTTTTAACCTGTTTAAAAAAGTTTTTTCTTTCGTTGCGGATCACTAGGTCTGTTTGAATCAATTATTATTATTATTAGATTTTAGAAATAAAACTGGCAGCAAGAATTCTTTCACTGTTGTCTTGGATAATTTCGATAAATATATGTTCACTTGTAGTGAAAATCATGTGTATATAAATAATAATGCGTTATTGTCAGTTTCTTCCTTATTCATAATATCGTACTCGATACTCGTTTTTTCATCAGTTTACCAGTCATTGAAGATGGCTTGAAAATTCTAGACCTTCAAAAAACAAGGTATAGCACTTAGGCTTAAACACATGATAAATATAAGGCATAATGCAAAACAACATGAATCTACCTATATTCATGTTGTGTTGCATTATGAATTCTTTCGCTGTTGCTTGGATAATTTCGATAAATATATGTTCACTTGTTGTGAAAATCATGTGTATATAAATAATAATGCGTTATTGTTGGTTTCTTCCTTATTCATAATTTCGTACTCGATACTCGTTTTTTTATCAGTTATGACTTGGTCGTTTTGTGTTTGTTGTGTGACGATATTTAAAACTTCAGTGGAGGTCGTTTTGGTTAGTGGACTCTGTGGTTTACGAGAGATGGTAGAGATAGCTATCGGTTGGGTGGTAGAATATATATCCAACGTTGGTGGTGGTGTTTCGTTGGATAGTGGTGTTATTATTTTATAATCAGGCATAGTCTGACATACGCCGTATTTAACAATGCACTTGCGGCTTGCATTAGTACGCCTAATCATTTTCGTCGTCGACATAAGCAGCATAAGCAGCTGAGACCATTGGCGATTTTGGGCACTCTAAAAGCCAAAATATTTCATTTATCTTTAATCTGGGCAGTAGAGCAAAGCAGAGGCAACCTGTGCTCAGGGCAAGGTAAAGCTATGATCCCATGACCTAATGCCAAAAATCAAGTTTAGTATATATGAAGCGGACAGTGACGACGTACCAGATATTAAACTGATAAGAACAGATACTTTTAATTTTAATTATTCTTTAAATTTTCATTTTATTGTGTCTTTACTTAGCCAAAGACCCTAAATGGTAGACTTTATTTTATATTTTTGTGTTTTTTTTTTTTTTTATTTGTTTTGTTATGTTACTTTTGTATTTGTATTTGGTTTTTTCATAACTTGTAGAAGAAGTGACTTTTGGAAATAACTTTTTAAAACGTTAAACGTATTATAAATATATAAATTTTTATACAGATGTACTTTTATTAATTAATAACTAATAGATTATGTTAAAGGGAAAATTTTTATGTTTTTAGAATTGCTTTTACTTATTGCGTTGTCTGTCTAAAATATGGAGTGAAATTCACCTTAATTTTTTTTTGTTTATAATTTGTTAAATTGTATGTTATATATATACAGTACCTACTCAAATTATAAGACTCAAAAAAGGAAATGTCCAGATTTTATTAGTTTTTAGGATTTTCTTAAAAAAGTAGGGATTAATGGTGTTTAATTTTTGTTGTTTATGTGAAATTTAACTTCCTGTCATTCATTTATTGTTTTTAATTAAGAAAATTTATAAAAAATATTAATTTTTGAATAATATTTTCAATTTTATAAAAGTTATGGTAAGTTTAAATTATATAAAAGTAAAAACTTTCAGTTAATTTTGTCTGTCATAGCTCAATTTATATGACTTCTTTAGGTACCTACATTATTTTAGATTGCCTTTACAATTTAAATAATAAATTTTTGTTTATTTTAAGATGCTTTTTTTAATTTTGCTGTCATACAATAACTTAAAAAATTTTATAGTTGTTTTAGGATTAATATTGGGTAAATCTAGTGATGTTTCCTCTAGTAAATATGCAAAATTAACTGTAAGAATTAACTAGTAAATATGCAAATTGTAAATATGCAAAACTAGTAAATATGCAAAAACTAGTAAATATGCAAAAATGTAAATTAACTAGTAAATATGCAAAATTAACTGCAAGAAACAAGTTACATCCAAAGAAATATTGCCAAAGTTATCAAAGTTATCATGGCTACAGTGAGAAGAACAAATTCTAAAAATGGGGGTTAAATTAGAAGTGCAGAAAACAGAGTCTTGTGGCAGAAAAAGAGTTACAAGTGCTCGAGATCACAGAAAAATAAAAAAAGTTATTGAACAAAATCGTAATATGCCATCAATCAAACTGAGAATTGGTTTAAAGATCAAGGAATACAAAAATTTACTTGAATCTTTAAGAAGGAGAAGTTACGAGTTTGGATATAAGTGTAGAAAGCCATTGAAAAAGCTGCAACTTACGCTTGCAATAATTAAAAAACTCCTTGCATGGGCTAAGAAACACTCATCTTTTTTTCTCAAGTCAGATGACTAATATAAGGTAAATTTTCCATTAGTTTTCTCTTAAAACATAAGCAAATAATATTTTAATATTTTAATATTACAAGTGTTTAGAAGATATTTATGCATTAATATCTTATCCCAACTCATTTTATTAATAGTTGAAATGTTTAAAACATCAATATTTATCGCTTCAGTCAGGTTGTATACAGCAATGAATCTTCCTTTGAGACTTTGGAAGAAAAAGCCACATTCGTCTGTTGCAGATTAAAAGAATAACTAAGCCAAAATGTACTGTTAACACTGTAAAGCACCCAGGGTTTATAATGGTTTAGTCATGCATATCGAGTAGGGGTATCAGTCGAAGTCTTAATATTATACATGGGATGATGAAACAAGATAGTACAAGACTGTCTGACAGATTAGTTTGATTCAACAGATACAAGAGTAGTTTTTTAATGGTAAGAAAAGTAGTTTTCATGCAAAATAGTGCTTTTTACTGTACTGCAAAATCCACAAAGACCTTTCTTGCTGATGATAGTATTGAGCTACTTGATTGGCATCGAGATTCTCCAAATATGAACCGTATTGGAAATCTGTGAGTGCTTGTATGATGCAAAGTGCTGACTTTGCATTTAACAAGTTTATAGAAACTCACAGCACGACTAATCGTAGTATGAAATCGAGATCCAGATGTTAAGAGCATTGACCTAAAAGTAAGTTTAAGAGAGCTTTGATACGCCAAGGCGTATCGAAGCTTTTTTAAAAGGAATCAAAAGGAATCATCGCCAAGGAATAAGTTTCATAATATGCCTTTTTATATCAATATATAGATAATATTTAAAAAAATAAGTTGTAATTGCCTTAAGTGAGTTTTAGACACACCAAAAAGAAAATAAGTTCATAAATGTGTTTGAGTTTAATAATTAGAGATGGTACTGTACATTATTTTCTTTTTGATGATTTGAACTAATTTAGTCACAGAAACTTCTTTATAATCGATTTATCATTCGTTTCTTGACATCTAAGGCTCTGTTGTTTGTATATCAGTAAGGGTGGTTATTTGTTGGAATAATTGTCTTTCTTTAATGCTTATTGAGAAGATTGTGTGTATTATATTGAAATTTATGTTATGAAAGATTGTTGTAATTATCGGTTTACAAGTTTCCCACACCGATCTCGCTTATTTCAAAAGATGTTAGTACATATGGATAAAAGGGTGTAACATCTAAAATCGGGTCTTATGGCTAAGATCGGGCCTATTGGCTGAGATCGGTTCTAATGGCCAAGATCGGGCCTAATGGCTAAAATCAGGTCTAAAGTTCGGTCCTTATGGCTAAGATTTCTTTTCGGCTTAATGGTAATATCGGTTACCGATTGTAAACGTGAGACAGAATCTTAATTTTACTTTCATTGACTGTATTTAACTTCATATATTAGGTATGTGGATAAAAATTTCAAATTGCTTGAATACTATAATGTTATATATTATTAGAAAGAGGGTCAATACAGTATCTTAATGGTGAAAAAATTATCAAAATCGAACAATTGGTTCAAAAGTTATGACGGTTTAAGTACCGATTTTTTGATATATGGATTTGTTAAAGAAACTGTGGTCAAAATAATGTTTTTCTTTACTTAAGTTGTCATAACTTTGTCAATTCTTATCGAAATACAAATATCTTGGTGTCAAAAGATAGGTGTAACAGTGAACTACAAATTTATGTTCAACTCTAACCACTGGGCGTATCGTATGGACAGAGGGGGCACAAAACCACCACCTTACCCTTATGAAACTAAACACTTTTTTCAGAAAAATAGTCTTTTTTAAGACATACGCAATATAAATATACAAAAAAATCGTTATAAATTTATACCCCCCCCCTATCTAAAAAAAAAAATAAAATAAAACAATCCAATTACTGTTTTCAAATTTTAAATAAGTAATTAAAAAAATATATATATAAAATTGGAAGAAATAAATTCATACCAGACAACCACCAAATATGGGAGATGAATGTAAAACTCATAGTAGATATGTTGATGATGTTTTAGTACCATAATATCAAAAAATGTTTCAATTCTTGAAATATCTGATTGATTATTTAAAGTACAACAACAAAGAAGTAAAAAAAATATTTTACTAGATTAAAAGATACATTAGTCGTGAACCCATGGCCTTAAAAGAGGGGGCATTCGCCCCCCCCCCCACCCCTAACTTGAAGAAGTGTAACAAATTTATTGGAAAGAAACATTTTTGAATTATTGAAGGCTAAGTTAGTAAAACATTCTCTTACTACTGAGTGACTTCTATTATCAGTCAATAGAAATAAATAAAAAAAGAATTAAATCAAGGTATTTACCAATATTCATAAATCTTTCAATCTTTCGTATAGTGCTTGATGGAAGTTTAGCTTCAAAAGCTGTTTTAAACTAATAAACAAATAAAATTTTATTAATTTAATAATGTTTGACTATTTTAATGTTTTATTTTATATAGTTTGTCTAGGCTTTTAGTAAATGATTACAATGATAAATTCCATTAATGAAATTATTTAGTAATCTTTTTTAACAATAGACACCACGTGAAGGTAAGCCAGAGCCGTCTATCAAAAACTTCAAGTCACAGCACTAGCAATGAGTTTTTGCAAGTCACAGCACTTGCAATGAGTCTTTGCAAGTCACAGCACTTGCAATGAGCTTTTGCAAGTCACAGCACTTGCAATAAATTTTTGCAAGTCACAGCACTAGCAATGAGTTTTTGCAAGTCACAGCACTTGCAATGAGTCTTTGCAAGTCACAGCACTTGCAATGAGCTTTTGCAAGTCACAGCACTTGCAATAAATTTTTGCAAGTCACAGCACTAGCAATGAGTTTTTGCAAGTCACAGCACTAGCAATGAGTTTTTGCAAGTCACAGCACTTGCAATGAGTTTTTGCAAGTCACAGCACTAGCAATGAGTTTTTGCAAGTCACAACACTTGCAATAGGTTTTTGCAAGTCACAGCACTAGCAATGAGTTTTTGCAAGTCACAGCACTTGCAATGAGTTTTTGCAAGTCACAGCACTTACGATGAGTTTTTGCAATTTTTGGGGAGTCAAGTTAGTAAAATTGTAACTTTTCCAGATGTTGTATCTGCAGCAAGTTGGATCTTTTTCATACAATAGTCAACAGCTTCAATATCAGTTTCATCATCTTTCCAATAAGAAATGGTGTAAATTAAGTCATTTTTTCGTTTATTAACCTTTTCTACTCTGCCATTATACAAAACAGGTTTGCATGTAATTGGATCGTACCATTCATGGTAAAGTTTTTTGCCTAAAATTCTTCCTAACATGACATCTTCTAAATCATATAGTTGGTCGTTGGACATATCTTTGTATGAATTTATAATTTCATCAAAATTTAGTTTAGATAGCTCACGCTCTAACTTTCTTTTTTCTTTTTCATCCATTTTTTGCCGTTTGGCTGCCTGTCTTTCGCATATCTCAGCTCTAATTTTAGCATGATGCAGTCGATTTCTATTTCTATTTTTACGTGCTACTTTAATTGACCATTTAATTACCTTTTCTCTCAAATGTAGCTCTAGACTGTCAAGATAATCCAACGTTCTATTCTTTTTTGCTCTCAGTTTGCAAGAAATATAGCAAATTGTTGCATTTGGAGATCGTCCTTTGGCATCGCTAAACATACCTATTAA